AGCATCTTTTCTATTGTCTTAGATCGCTAGGCTTTGCTAATGCTGAACAGACCTATCAGTAATGCTCGTCATAATCGTCATAGTCGTACTCCGATCTGTCCCGAAGGTGTAGCTACATCTGTTTCCGTATCACCCCCTGTGCACTAGTAAGGGATAGACTCCAAAAATGCCCTTTCGTATATTCGCGTTTTCACAACCAGAGCCCGAACGATGCACAAGTTATTGCTATTTATATAATATAGTTTTTATAGTTGTTTAATAATAGTTTTTTTTTCTTTTTTTTTTTTTTTTTTTTTCTATAATATAACAACTATTCTAATAATCACATCACAAAGAGTGATTCTTCAGTTCATTATTTCGTCTATAAATTGAATTTCCATTAACGTGCCATTTGCTCATCCAGTTTACATCTACTTTTCGATCAACAGATGCGTCCGGTTCAAAGGCTGAAGTTGTGCTTCTTCATCATAAAGTCAGGTCTTGTACCTTACGATCGACGTAAGCCTTGCTTCTAGAGCCACGATGAAATCATTACGTGTCGATGAGTTCACCGCTAATGCGATTCGTTTCCGCATGTTAACATTCTTAGCCGAACTCGATAAAGTACATGTATGAGGTATACAGTATGTAGCAATATGTAAAACCAACAACAAATATCCAATGGTCTGTTCGACATACCTTGCACGCGTCACTTATGGCTGCAAAACATGCAGAAACTATATGGCCACAAGACGTCTAACGTCATTCTCGGTTGCACTGATGTATAATATTAGCAGCTAATCAGCTGGGCACTAGATGTTATTTTTGCGTATCTCTGTACCCGAACGAGCTTTCATTTTGCAGAATTTTAAATTTCTTTTGTCCGATAACACTGCTCTTCAAAGCTATACTTATTACGGTTATGTTTCGTATTCTATAGCACCCAATTTGCTAACTGATCAAAGTTCAGAAATGTGGAACTGACCTAGAGCTGCTGCCAGGCCAAACTAGGTATCCGCTACGATATTATGTTGATTGTACTACGGTAACGGTGATCGTCTAAACAGTTTTCAGCGATTGAACGTGCTTCGCAGACAAAGGATAAGACCTAGTCGACGTGCTGCGTTTGTAAAGATTACCATTCACCAACGATTCCGTCCTGTTTGGACAAAAACAATAGGACGTTTGTCGTAGATAATGTTCGAAAATTATATTATACCCAACGCGAAGTATTGCAAACGTTTTACTTTCAGATGTTGGATGTCTTCCAATGGTAACGCTTTGCCTTCTATAGAGTGACCGCTGTTAGCAGAAAACGTACCTTAGTCATATTCGTGATAACAGCTCAACGACATCACATTTACAAATAGAATTACGTCTACGGCACAATGTAGGCAGCTCAAGTCGGAAACGATCTGAGCAGATTGTGGATTACATCGTTAATCCATTGTGATAATATGTACGCGTACGTAGAATGTCTCGATGTTTTCTGCCTCCTCTGCGCAGTCAGTCCTGTTGATCTTCAACTCCTCGCAGCGACTCACGCCAAATGAGAAAGAATGGGGTTTGGTTAATATTCTATTGTACTGATAGACATGCTCGCTGTCTCATCGATTATTACCTGTACACCATCACCAGCCATTTTAGGCCTCATGCATATACATAGCTGAAAATTTCGATATTTTTAAGTAGGGCATATGGTACAACCTTTGATCGGCTGGCTTCCCTGAGCACGAAAACCTCCTGACGGACACGTATGTTGAAACATTCCATACACTATGGAATTGACGCTATTTCTGCAACGAAACGGAGAGCTTCGCATAACGATCTTCGCCCACACACGGTAGAGCCTATCAGTCCATCCATCTGCAGATGAAAGATTTCGTTTGTGGTGCAAAAAAAGCCTTACTTTGATTGTTACTATAGTTGAAGCAGGTTCACCTATCCTCGCATAGCCATCCCGTCGTCCCGTAAGTGTCTATCTGTTCTTTCAAATCAGTTGTGCGCCATGACCGCGTTGCTCACATACAAAATGCCTGCTATCATTCCACCATTATTCATATGTACAATTGATTAGGTGTAGTTGAAGTCCTAACATCGAACCAGCGTGCCTGCTGCTGTCCGTACAACTCTACCAACTATGATCATTTAGCCCTTAACAAACAGTGTCCATCATAGAGATAGTAGCGCATCGCAATGAGCGCCCAGTGTGAAATAACCACGTGGAAATTTTCCGCTGCCTTACAAGCCCCCTAGTTGATTCGTCGTGTAAGGACTCAAGGAAGACTCGTTTGCTTTTCAAGCGGGCGGGGATAACGTCAATAAAAGCGACCATTTAGATTGGTAAAGTCAACCACTCCTAGCCAAGTTCTATGTAATGGCCACTACTCAGATAGCGCCCATTGACAAGCACATTTACACTGTTCTTAATGGAACAATTTCATGTACGAGTACCGGTTCAATTGTGTTCATTAAGAATACATGTAAATGTACATGGCGTAACATTTGCTAATTTAGTCTTGTCTGTGCAAAATGTCGTAGGGGCGGACTTGCCAAACGCATGTCTGGGCTTGCTTTTTGTTCGTCGAATCTGTACTTAGCACAGCTCAGGTTTAAGGGCTTCAAGCGCGATGGACACTATCTCCCTATGTGTTTGTTTCGTCCACACAAAAAGATAATATCACTTTCATATACATACACACACACACACACACACACACACACACACACACGCACACGCACGCACACATATATGTATAGTGATAAACAGAGCAATGAGGCTGCTGTTTGACAGAAAAAGTTTATGTAGGAAATCAAGCGGAACTCAATCGAGTTAATGCCCAGAATAATGAAGAACGTTAATGGATCCTCCTAGAGCAATGTGACCCGGACAGAAAATTCTGCTCGTTTTGGAACAAAGCAACGTTTTCCTTGTGCGATTTCTGCATTTCCAGCCAGCTGGACAAGCCAGTCGTTCACAGTGTGTATCAGTGCGTGTTTATATACAAATACTGAGCCAAAATGCATCCAAGTAACACAGATTACTTTCACCGATAACGCGATGCCACCGTAGTATAATTAATTACTGTTACTAGTAGGTTTTGGTTTGGGGCTAGAATGGTCCACGTGCAAAGAGATCGTGCCACATATAATAACAATAGAATGAAATGTTTAAGACAGGGACGCTTTGCAATTGTCTAACTCATATAGTATCGACATGTTTACGATTGCAAGCAAGAATATCTTGTCGGAAACGAGGGTAACTGTATAAATTGAACTCGTACACCATCCGTTCCCCTATGCTGGGTTTGTACGATGCCTTTAGTCACAGTACGTATCAAGTAATTACTGATTAGCCTGAAATCGTTCGCCCTTAATATATCCGCGTTTTAATTAAATGACAAATCGATAGCCGCTTGTCCATGTGCCAATCCAGTGAGCCATTGATTATTGCTAACCGCGTGTCCTATCGTCCTTGATACGATCGCTTAAGTAGAAGTAGTCCTTTGCAACGTTTCTGATTAGATTTCAATCAGTTAGCCTGGCACTATAATCTAATTTAGTATAACTTGGGCATGGTGCGTAGGTTTTCATGTGTAAGTTTAGCGTGGCAAAGTTAAGATCAAATAGTTTTGAATCCGCTGGCGAGACTAGATGTCTACGGAATGCTCGTCGAGTCTCACAGAAATCGAAATCTATGACTACTCGTTAAGTTAAAGTAGACGGCGGTAGAGAAGTTCTCAATAACAGTGGTAATAATATAAACTAGCCTGAATGATATCGGTTTTTGTTAGAAGAGGTTCCGTATTTGCCCGTCTGTCTTAAAATGTTTGTGTGGTATATCGTGCTACAAGCGTACAAGCCTTATCTACTTTCAGTATTACCTAACAGCTGTTATTGGAAATTTTGACAAGATTTTCAAAACAACGCTTTCTTTTTAAGCTGTCGAACCAACGTAGCGTAATAGGCAGCACGAGTTCAAAGTGATCCAACCTATAATAAGAACAGTGAACGCTCTGTTGTTGGAGATACTTTACCAACAGAAGATCCGTTACTATCTAAAGCGTATAAGAACTGTTTAATGGTCCAATTATACGTATGTGGTGAAATAGCTCGAGAGTAAGGACACCTGCCTCGAAGAAAGGCGGACACTCAACGCTCAGAAGACTATCCTGAACAAGATATAGTTGTTATTACCCTTCTTCTTTTTTATCTCCGCCCGACCCACAGCCTGGAGTATCCTATAATTTCCGGTACCGATTAGGCTTTGCCAGTTATTATCATCTAGTAAAATCTAGTCTGTACTTTCAGCATCGCGCTACGCTGTCCCTGCTAAATGCAGAACATTATTCCTCAACAGAGACAAACCCGAGGAAGTCTTAGGCTGCCCAACCATTATTAGATCGAAGCATGCTTTATCATTCATATGATTGAACAATAAATGAAAGGGGTGTTGGGTCTACAAAGTGGGCGCTTTTCTCAAGTACGTTTCAATCCGATCCACTGAAGTCCTACGAGGACCAAAAGACCGTCTGTGCCAAGCGGCTTCTTTCGATGTTTCTTTACTTTCTGCATATACATATGTATATGGGTTTGTCAAGTGGTGTGGACCGGGCCGACGGTGATTTCTGCTACTTTGCAAATATTCAGGCACACATAGTTAAGGCCAATTGAGGCCGAATGATTTCTGGTACCATGTCGTAAGGAATACACCAGCTTAACAGAAACGTACGTATTCGGCAAATTACATAGAAACAAAATGTAAACGCGCGTAATTACTAATCGCCAATTTGAAACTATCAAGCGGCAAGTTTTTCATCTGGACAATCAATGGTAGACCATACGTTTTAACGAAACCTATTGGACATAGAGAAAGCGGTCTGTCCTTACGGTGTAGCGTAACTGCTCGAACTTACTCGATTCAATTACCCTAGAAATATATTGTGTTTAAACGGGCTTTTATTAGATAATGACAAGAATAATAATAATAATAGTAGTAGCAATGTGTTTTATGTCCACAGGTAAAATTCGCCTGTACGTATGATTGCTACAGAGCCCGTATTGGTCTAGGTAGTAAAAACCATGAGCAAACAGTTAAACGGAATTAACTAAGCTGAAATCGACGCTGTTTAGGAGAGACGGACTCGAATAGCTCAATGAACGTTTAAGGTAAGCCTCGAAATTTAATAAAGTAGATGATAATGGTCAGAACTGGGTTAGATAACTAGCAACAAAACACTGCTCATACCCAATTTCGTAGAAGATTGTTAGCGATCCCCACCAAGACGCTTAAGCGAAAACACTGGCGAGATAGCGGATCGTTGGGCCACAAAAGCAAGCGACTGGGTTAACATGTGAGAGACCTCCAGTTTGAACGATTAGCCGTAACACTATCGTTGATATGAATGTCTGCTCGGCGGAAGTAGTTTTAAGCTGAATTACCGGCGCCGGCTGTGTAGTCCTTTAAGTGGCAAAAAGCTGGAATATTCTTCAACGCATATATATCCACAAAGTATACTCCATATATATATATATATATATATATATATATATATATATTAAGGACAAAAGTAGAAGGAGGAAAAGTGCAGGTAATCTCGATAATAGCAACTTAGATTTGGCGCATAGTAGCCCTAACGTGAGAGGCAAATTTCATTTTTATTTGAAAAGAAAAACTCTTTTTAATGCCTAGGTGTCTTCAGCTCATTTCGACATTACCGATATCGCTACCTCTTCAGAACGTTGTGTGGCTTTTTTATTAGACGAACCGTCGTGAAGTGCTTCTGTGAGGTCATGCCAGTGGATCACTGGGTTACACGTTGGCCACTTAGTTTACTGCCGCAACCCATCGCTAGAAGACGCCTCTAAAAGAAGCGGAAATCAGAGAACTTCGATCGCCATTCAAGGCTAATTCCGGTAAACGACAGGTTAATGAACGCGAGCAGCCGATGTATGAACGCGGGAAGGCTTTTAACGATATTTTTAAAAGGACAAATTCGTGACCGGGATAAACCTAACGAGTACAAGTGTTTTGGGAACAATGGGAAAAGCCAGCCTCACGCGCGACCCAGTCCCCACGCAGTGCCAGGAGGAGGATCAACAACTGTGTTAAAATTTCAAGTAATTCAATGACACATTGATAAAGCTAGTTTAACAATTGTTGAGATGGGTACGTACTTGTTATAATCAAAACAGAGCTGACCGCAGTTACGTAATACTATACTGATTTAAAATGCATTCTCTTATATACATATCAACTATTTACTCCTATATATATTCAAGCTTAACGTCAACATTTGGGCGATTTTGACCGACGGATTGGAGATTCTTGAGGTTAGCTGGGCATATATGCCTTTTTTGTAAAATATATATATATATATATATATATATATATTTGCACGCAGCTAAAGCCAATATGTTTGAACTAGTACTAAACACAAAGGCGATTTATTCGTGCTCTTTACATAACGATAACGCCAAAAAATATCTCGAACCAAATATATCATGGCTTTGCATTCTAGGCACATTTACAAGGGGGGCGAATATGTCCAGCTAACCTTAAGTACCACCAGTCATTGGGATTGAACTGATCGAACGACACTGGCATTTGTCCGCACCTGTAAAGTCGCTCACTCTATCAACAATCGTATACATAAACGTACCGTGTACACACGTACAGCAAAAAGGGTGTACGCAGGTATACAAGATAGCGAACGCGGGATCCGTATATGTACATGTTGTTTCTCTCATGGCTATTAGTGATTATCTCGTTTTATCAATCTCTAGCTTCGTACAGCTTAGTCCGTAGGTGCACTCGTCTCGTGTCCTGAACTCATCCTCGTCGATCTTTCAAGCCTAAAAAATTTATGCACAATCGCAGGTAATTTTTTCCTATCATTGTGGTCAATAAAAACGCATCACACGTGCTTAAGCTTTTCATTTATGCAGATTTGATTAACCGCACCGTTGATAATCAAGTACAATGATGACTGTAAACGAGGACAGCGAGTCTTTCTCGTCTTCGGTCTGTGCAAAGATTCCGCAAACGATGCACTGACCATAAATTTCAGTTAGAATGATTATTTTTATTACTGAAAATTAATGTTCGACAACTCTGGTCGCCTCACGATGTTGGCTGTGTGCAGCCCCGGCCCTACAGCGCTACCGGGCGGCTAAAGCACATGCTGCTCTGATCGACAGCCGATTGAAACACGGTTGGCCGACAAACTATTAACTTCATCCCGAATTTTTCGACATGGCTCAAGTTGTATGTAAAAATTGTTAATTCGTTTTCAAATCGAGCTCAGCCGTCGCCGTCGTCGTCAGCCTTCCAGAGGCGACCTGCATTGTAACCCACGTCGGAACAACTTCGCTGATTGGTGATGCCAAATTTGCCACTGTGCCATGGCATTATATCGAAAAAAATAGCTGTACGCGGCTGTCGTTCGAATGATAGCTAACGTACCTCTAAGTTTATTTATTTCGAAGGTACATACATACATTCGAAAAACGCAAAAACTCTACGACAGAGCGATTGGGAGGAAAGTGTTGTCGTAATTAATGGTCGAGTACATTTCTGTATTTAGATGTGCGGTAATGTAACAAAGAAAAAATATGGCCGTCAGGTGAGTGGAGCTGGTTTTAGAAGACGAAGCACTACCGACCTCGTCAACTTCGGACCCCAGACTATTCGAGTAACATTTCATCGGTTCATTGCTATCAAATTATGAACACGCCCCGTTGAAATTAACATAGATTTTATTTGGCACATTTATAAATCGTAGTTTTCTACACTCGCCATACTGTTTTCCGTTCGAACAAGGGTAACATGGGCATGTAATGATGACAGAACAGGTTATACAACTTCGACTGTGTCACAATATGACAATGCACTCGCCCTTGTCAACAACATCAGTTAACAGCTACGCGAACAGCTACCCACGCAAAGGATACGATCAACCTTACGCCTACAAACCTATAACCTACAAAACTTAACAGCAGACGAAATTTAAAGGTAAACGTTTCGTGTGTTAGGCACCAACTAAGCCATGTTTAACAGCGGTGCCGGATAGTAAAAGTTGAAATATTAATTAGAGCATTTAGTTTATGGTATACGGCGAGTCATTGAACCAATATCGTATCGCCAAAGATTTCTATACGCGATAAGACTAAAGTTCTAATTCTATGTTTTTTATGTTTACAAACAAATAACCAGCTGGCATCGGCACTGAGTCTACCGATTTCTGTCTATCACTCGCATTTGATTTGGTCGCCTAGTAATACGTATATCAACAAATACGAATCGTTGAAAAGGACATTTCAGCTGTTGGCCGCCGGATAGCTTAAAGGCTAGATGTTGTGAACGCCCAATAGGTGCTCGGCTCACTGCTCGCTCTGTATACTGTATAATTACGAAGACATAGCGCTTTGTTGTTGTTACTGTTGCTGTTGTCGTTTTGTTGATAATGAGTCAATTCAATCAATGAGCAGGCCACACCACAGCATCTACTACGCAGGGCAGCCGTAAGCTTCAGACCATAAACACGATCGGGCACTATCGACATTAGAAACCTGACAAAAGCTCAGCGGCTACTCGGCTGGATGAAATGTTCTGTTTATTGCAACGGAACTTGATGATACAACTTTCAGAAACTGTCGCTGTTATGAAATGAGCACTATGATAAATAGTATATTTTTGCCTAATTGACCACTGATTCATGTCGAGTGCCAGGGCTGTGTATGGAATCACTGCGACCCTTTTTTTGTAGCACCAAAATGCGCCCGATCAAGTAGCTCAATGTACGGCATGCGCTGGCATTTACGAAAGCCCAGCTATAAACTCAAGGGGCAAAGCTAGCTCGAGCGTAGTTCCTCCATCATCTGAATTGATGTATAATGATGTTGAGCTTATTCATCTCGACAGTTCAGCTTCTTGTTAATTGGTCTCACCACCTATGTAAATCTGTAGATAAAAGGAAGGATTCTAAGTAAGTGATATAAATAATGATCATAGAGTGCAATAAATAACAAAAGTGTATTTTTTTTTGGTTTTAGATGGTATGACGGCGTAAAATGCTGTATACTCTCTTGATAGAGGTCCAGGAATTTTCGAAGATTGTTCTCAGTTTATTCCTACGATCTTTAGGCTATCCGGTCTCCTATTTTCACCGAGTGTGCCGTATTGGTTATTTTTTAAAGGAGACCGTGCGCCGGATGACTCATGCGTATTTATCTTAGTGCACTACCACGCTAACCATAGCACGCAGCCATTACTAGTTTAAGACACAGTTCTAGAAAATGTTATCATCCCGTTACAAGGGTCTGTTAAAGAAACTTCCTATCAACCCAGTAAAACCCCCCTCCCGGTCTGGCCTTATAGTAAAGAGACACATCCTTAATATTATAGTCATTCCGTAGACTTATTCATACAAATAAGGAGTAACGGGGGGCATCAAGTAAAGACCTTAGCTGCCTCGCTTGACTCACTTGTATTAGGGCACTTATTATTTGGTATTATGGCACATTATACAGAACAATTTGCAAAGACATACTAACGATTTTCACAGATGTAACAAAACAGCCAGTAGCATACCTTGTCTTTGCCACAAATAGAGCGCGTATTACGAAACGATCACAGGTACCCGTCCTCCCCTCTCTCGTTTATGCACCCTTTCCGAAATTATTATCGAATAATCGAGTTAGGTAGTTTAATTACAAAGTTATACTTCAATCGATACTTGATTGAACGTGCGAGCGCACAGTGCCTCGTACCGCTATGGAAATACATGGCACAAAAACCTTATCTGCGCTTGAAGCTCCGCCTTTCGCTAGTTTGCAAACCATTTTAGAAGCAGTAGCTCGTCCATAACCCATAGTTAGATCTTAATTCACATCAAGTCTTTGGTGGCAGCCAGCATTTCGTTGCAAACGCTGTCTCCTTCCATAGCACACAAGATCACCACCGAATCACAGTTTGACTGTAAAGTTTTTGCCCCAGCCATCGCTAGCAGGGGCCCGCCATGTCAAAGCCTCGTACTATCCGCGATTGTGACGACTGATATTGTATGCGAATGTATTCCATTGAGATGCCTCTAACGCTCATTTTTGACGAACCGTCGTTACTATATTTTCCTAGTTCGGGAGAAATCCGTCTGGCTTCTCGCCGCTACATAGCGCGAATATCGCTAGAACTCTTAAGCTAAACGGTGTAGTAGCCGACACGTATCGCCACGCTTTCTATTTGGGCTCTCCATATGTATCTATAAGGTGAATAAGAAGCAGGCTTACAGTGGAAAATGAACTGACTTGGGAAAGAATTAGGAAAGTGTTAAACTTGCAGTCGTGAAAAAAGCAGACCTATAATTGAAACAGCAACTGCAAACATAGTTTCCTTTATAGTGTTAGGCTTATTTTTTTTATAGACTTACATGTTTTGCCTTTTGTCTACTTTTGGTCCTCTCTGTACATCCCTTTGTCTTTCTTTGATTGGCCTCTGCGATTCGTCGATGCTAACGAATCATTCATTTCTCGTGACGCTTGCGCCCAATCCGACAATCGTCCCGAATTCTACACTCGATGAAACAGCCAGGCAAAATATCTAGTATTAGTTTGTAAAGCAGCAGTAACAACGGAACGAGGAGTAGCAGCGATAAGCTATATAGCAACGTTGGCTAAAAAAATTTCCCCGTGATAACCGATGAAACAAACAAGCGGGCGGGCAAGCAGGCGGACGGGGGCAAATAGCCTTGTTGCTGGTCTCGCGGCAGTCTCCGACGCAGCTAACCGCACGCTCGTGTTGTGGAATTCCTTAGTCTGCGGATAGAATATATGTATCGTTCAGCATTGAAGAGTTCGTGTTATAGCGAGGTATACGGATCGGCGACCGAATGGACCAACGCGAGGTATACTACAACGCATCGGTAATAGAAGCATCAGCTATTACCGTTATACGTGCGAGCTCAATGTCCATAACCTGTTTCGGTAGTGATGTTCCATGCAGTTACCTGAAAAAGTACCACATTTCGTATGCCATCCACCCGAACGCTTCCCACTTACCTATTCACTCGATTTATCTTGTTTCGAGCTTCTTGCTAACAACGACGCCAAGCAGAAGAAACTTCTCCAACCATCACTGAAGACATTGATCATAGACAACGATAACGGTGCTTCGATCTGTTTCAATAGAATTTGACAAACAGGAACTAGATCTACGTGTGTAGAGCGGCATATCCATGTGTGGAACATTATACGTGTGTATGTATACGTACAGGGGTGTGGTATAGACCGCCAAGGATATGCCACAACCTGCAGACCGTGGAGCACCTCCAGGCCGGCACAGATGTGAAGCGATAAAAGCTACTGATTAGCCTCTGCTATGATGTAGATTAGGGTGTAAAGGTATATATACGCTGAAACGGTTGGTGAATCATTGCAGTAACAGCGGTCTGGACTGATAAAAATCGTTTCCACAGCCAGGTAACGTGTCGAGAAACCGACAAAAATTACGCTCAAGTAATCTCTGTGCCGCACTTAGAATGGGCAAGGAAAGATTACGAAAAACGGCATCAGACAGCTAATCCCTAACACGAACTGACCTGAACCAGTTGGTTACATTTGATGGAAATAAGGCATATGACCCAGAGCTTGTAGTCTACTTGTGTGTATGGGTGGACAAATTGAGCGGGAATAAAAACGAGTTTGAATCTGTACTGCGCAGCAACGTGTAGTTTAGACATAAACACATCTAGGCTTAATTTAGGTTTATCCACAATTTATTTAAGCAAACCATTTATTCATTTTAGTAATTCGTATAGGCTGAATGGTGCTTAAAGCTTCTATTCGGTTGTGCCTAATGCCAGTATACAGGAATGCCAATATGTTTAGTTCTGGTGGACAGAGCACGTGTTACTTTTTTAGAACGAAGGCCGGGTAGACAACTGGCAAGATTTGCCACAAGACCGCAAGCAGGCCTCGCTGTCGTCTTCATTCAAACGCCATCTCCTCAAATAAGAATTTACGACCGTCTTACGTTGAACAACTGTGAAATTTGCTCTGGGTTATTAAAGCGGTTACAGTCACATGTTATGTATCATTATTAGCGGCCGTTAGCCTGGACAGCCCACTCGAGCCAGCTCAGCATAGAGCCATAGTGGATATGACGTCGCTTTTTAAAATACCGCCTTTGTCATAATTTACCCATATACCCACAGAGTAAAGGCACCCCGTATGATTCGCTCATTCATTATAGATCTGTTTGCTAACACATCTGCGAATCCGGTACAATAGTATGCCAAACAATTGGACGAAATCGATCTATAGCAAAACGATGTACCCTAAGTCTCAAGCCATTATTGTATATTCGGCTAATCTATACGTATAATAAGATGTCGCACAGTAAAGCGGAAACGAGGTGCGCCTAGCGGATCGTTGTGATGAAGACGTTGCCATCGCAGACCTCGTAATGGAATTCACATGTGTGTAAACACCCTTGCCAGGTAGCTGTACAACGAAACAATTAGAAAATACAGTCCCCTTAACGTGCGTCAATCGAAGCTTGTTTGCATTCAGTCGTTTGTTACCCGACAGTTACGGGGCTATGGTAAGACCCGAGCTGCCGTACAATTAATAGGTACTAGTCTCTGCGAAGACCCACAAGGGCTTAGTCCCACGCTCCGGCCACATAATAGAAGGTTGTCTACGGTGGTGTCTTTACGTGGCTGACCTAGTAGGCTCCAATCATCGGCCTTATTCCACTGTAACATAACCGTGCGATGTATATGGGATCCACTCGCCATATGCTCATCAGGCGCACAAGATGGAGACGGCAAGCTAAGTGAGAAAATTATAATTCTGAAATTGGTATTTTTTTTTTGAAATATTAATTTTCTTTGAGCGTTATGGATGTGAAGTACCTTCTGAGATCGTCCAGACAGTTAAAGAGTGTTTTGTTTTATCATGTCAATGAAAAAAAGTGTAATTGTATCATACACAAAAAAAACGATCTCGATCAGTCCGCGGCCAATATAGTCACAGGGATTAAAATGAAATTAGGGACCTACAAAGCGTAGTCAGACTTGTAACAATAACACCGTATTGATTCTATATTAAGTGGAAATAATAACTCTTTTTAAATGCTGCTCGTACGCACAACAGATCTGGTAAGAATTTTCTATTGTTGTTTTATTACATTCCATCCATGAAAAGACATCCAAAAAAAAAAATCCACTAAGATAAAATACACTAGATTTAATTAACTCTATTACGATACAACGAATTTTCAGACGTGCGTAAAGACGAGACTCATTTATTGATGTTCTCTTAACTTTTCTCACAACATTGAAAGTTCCTCACTTTAAGGTTCTTCCTATATTACTGTCATAATTATCAAACATCATCGCCCGTAACGTAGAAGGAACGATGAAAAACCTGCTTCTGCTGTATATATATATATATATATATATATGTATAAATAATTTCAAAACTTGTTGTTCCAACAGCGACGAGAAAATACGTTTGCCAGTATTCGCAGTGAACGAAACTTCATTAATCCACAGAATTCATCTAGATACCGAATTAGCGAGATAACAAAAGCTCGACGCCTTTTTCTAATTTGTGTAACTTATGTAGACACACATTAGACACATGTCTATGACAACCTCAATGTTTTTATAATTTCGTACAAACATAAACGTATAAGTTCCACGTACGAATTCAATTATGAGTTCCCTGAAATACAATGCCTACAAGTGTTAGCTTTGTTGCCTTTGTAGACTAGTTAAATTACGCGTCTGGTTGTACAATCTGTTCAGTTTCCCTCCACAAAACAAGCAAAAAATATCGCTAGCTTTTTCACAGCAAACACCGCTTCTCGTGTCGGATCCTTATCACTTTGGGAAGGCGCCCGCCGCCTTCCATCCCCCCCCCCACAGTCAACGTACTGTTTAATACTATTACGATGATTACGAAACGGCTGTGAATAGAACAAAATAATATCTTAACTGAAGTTTTACAAAACCATAATAATAACGACAGATGGTGGAGTTGAGCATAGATCAAATACATCATTCACTGAGTACATGAGAGATCGAGAACAGTTCGATAACGATATCAGCTATGGCCATTTTCCGTACCGTTTTTATCTCTAGTTGCTTTTTTGTGTCTACTGGGTATGCACAGAGACACCCGCATATATATATATATATATATATATATACATATAAGAAACCCTTCCCGGCGACTTCCCAGGCCACTGCTCTAACAGCAGCGTTCGACTGGCGCAAACGACGACTAATACATCTGTTACTACAGCGAAACAGTGTCACCAGCGAAAAGACGGACCGACCTATGACAAGCAGTGGGGCCGAATATATTTATTAACATGTGAAGTCCACGGTACCTCAGCCGATAGAGGTCCTTATAAACGCCCGCAAAGCTAATCCCCTAGGAGGCACTCTGCAAGCACGAATTGCGATGAATACTGTTACTATGGAAAAGCGAATCGAGAAAAGATAAAAGCAAAATTGTAGCTATAGGTAAACGGACCAGGGCTGCTGACCCATCGACAACAGTAACCCGTTCTGGCAGCGATACTTCATCATCCTTATTGTGGGCTCATGGCGTAATATTTTTAGAAGGATATATGGTAATTATCGTTACTTTCCTATCGTAGTATTTAGGTGTTACCTTAACAAAGTCAAGTAGCGCTACTTGCATTGGTGTTGGACAGGTCTGGTTAAGTGACTAGCCTTCATCAATAGTCCTAGCAGCTGGTTCCTGAGCCAGAATGAGGAGCTGGATGAGGATGCCTTGTTGGCTCTGTCCGTAGCTTAGCAACTAATTAAAATTTCTACTTAGCAATAGCATTTGTTCCATGAACGCTGTATTTATGGTCGTTGTGTAGAGATGGGTACATGACCGGAAGGTTTGGGGATCTGAGAGGAACTGTCGAAGTGCGACTATAGCGAACATGAAATGGCGGTTATTCTCGCTAAAGCATTTCGCTGTTGATTTAGTGGCGGGTCTTATCGTTGGAAGGAAAGAGAAGGCGCAGAAGATAGCCTACTGCGGAACCCGTCGTGAAATTACGGTAGTCGCAATCTAATTTGATAGTTATTACTATGTAGCATTACCTTTACTGTTGAACTGCAACAATTTTAACGTCGACAAAAAAAAAAAACACTCATCACTTTTTTCTTCTGGCCATTTTTCGATATATCTGTTCATAATGTTCGACCAAGTAACTGGCAGTCGCTTATGACATTTTTGCGTACGGCCTCAATTGCGGTCGGCAAATGTGGCCGATCGAAATGGCCTGTTCTTATGTCGGCGGTATTCTTGATGGTCCTTATGTATAGATTGGAAGGAGCCAGATGTGCCGATGCTGGAACCTGACGCAACGATATGGAAGAAAAACAAACGTATAAAAGTGATGTACGTCACGCGTGTGAGAATACGAGCTGAAGTCAGCATTGCCTTTGGAAGGACTCGCCGACAACACGAACTGCAGTATCTATATCCTAAATTTTTCTGACAGTTCCTTTTCCAACGGCGGAAAAAAGGGCCAAACTTTTCGAAATAAGGAGCTGATAAGTGTGTGCAACATTGCGTTAGGGAAATTAACGGCGTCTGACTAAGTCGTTGCAAAAAGACGTACGACACGAACAGCTTGTCCGAGAACGCGCGTCATCACGGTGACCTTCGCAGAGGGAAATAATGAGGCGTTTATTGCGATCAGATCCTATAGTTGATTTTTCGCATAGAATGTGCCAGAACTTGTTCGGTATATTAATTAATATTATTATTATACGACATATCAGTTAGGTAATTGCGCTAAGAAATAGACCCGCTTCACATTCGATTGAGTACTAATAGGGTACGATAAGCATGTAGTATTGAATGCCCTATGCTACTGCCAATGACCGACTCCAATACTGCGCAGTGATTTCACGGGTTTTCGTCCTCAGCCGCTGGAAGAAATCCTGAGCATTTCGGGGGCTGCAGTGAAGCACTTAAGCAGAAATCAGCTGCACAACGAGCCAATCGACCTACCTACCTACAAACTGCTTCCGCCCACGTGAACCGGTGGGAGCCCTCTTCTACCGTCACAACGCGTTACCGGGATCACTATGTGATGGTATGCAATGTGTTTTGACGTAGGACCATATGAGTGCGAGTCAAGTATAATTTATAACTCGGTAAACTTAACATAAACATCTGACAAAATAATTGTTCTTTTCGTTTTGGTAGCATTTTTTACTATTTTCTTGGTTTTATTTCATTGTAATGTTTTTAGCTCGCAACGGTCTTTTTGGGGGGGGGGGGGGGGGCTGTACAGCCCTGTCCGTCAACATCAGATCTAAGTGTCCTTGTTATATCAAAGGATTTCTGTTATCCTGAATAGATTTTCGATCTGGCTGTTGGTATATTCTGTAGTAATTGTTTTCCATTTGCTTACGTTTTCATTGTATTTTGTACTTATCTAGACCCAGTACGTACTCAACATAGTCTAGTACAGCGTCCTAAAAAGCACATTTACTAATCTGATGGCAATGCCTGAGTGAATTTACCTATCTGCTTAAACAATTGCCCTGTGAAAAATTTTAGCAAACCTTCGTCAGCGTCACCGAGCAAACACTCAAGGAGATACAATGATATTGGTCTACTAGTATACTACGGCATCACAAGTACAATCGACAAGCCCATCGTTAACCATATATGTGGAGACCGTATGGCTAAACTCCGCAATAGAGGTCCGTTAATCAAAAACTAATACATCTCTTCCCATTAAGCCTATTCGAAATCTCTTTATTATCACTAGATACGATCGTATTGTTTTCGATACATAGTTATATGTGCTTGTACTGACAATGTAACCACCCGTATCACAGATAGCCGCGCTGGTCTTCACGGCTGATCTTGTCGGATCTGTGGTGTGTAGAGGTTTTCTTTTTCTGTCTTTCCTATAAACAAGAACACGGTAACAGTACTTCGATCATTGCAGCAAACGGTGCATTGCACGACGATCACCTTCGGCGGCGAAGACAACGCGGTGCGTTAGCGACGGTTGTTTCTGTTTGACAGAGCATGGTTCAGCGGCTTGCTACTAAGTCTATCTTATTCCCGAAGAGAAAACAGCAACATAAGGAAGTACAAGGAATGATCAATCCCAAAACTTGTCCCTTTTGGCAGACACAATCCCTGCTCCTAGATGTTATGCTCCGCAATAGAAAAACAGAGAAAAATAACAATAGCGCGTGATGCTGCCATCACTCTGGGCGACCCGCGTCCGCCACCGACTGCAGATGACGACAATTAGAGTTGTGTTATTGGGATCTGCTTTTTTTTCTGCTCACCTGGGCGTTGGCTCGTATATTTCGAACAGTGATACTGTTAAAAATAACATAACCGGCCCGCCCATATGGTCATGAATGTACAAAGCACGGCAAAAGTCACCTGATAGTGTGGATCGTTATATTCTGTCTGCGGCAACCAAATGAGATGTGCCAAAAATAAGAGCAAAGCCATGATCCAACCAAATATATATCTATATATTTGATTGTATATGTAGATAGATGGTAAATAGTTAGTGTATTTGTATATATCGTTACTAGTCACGCTAGAAATGTTTCGAACTTTTTTTTGCAGCTTTAGCCCTTTTATTATCAATCGAAATATGCACCATTATTATTATTATTATTCATGACTTTTCGCCATTTCCAAGTTATTTATTCCACTTGCTGTAAAAGCAAAAAAAAAAACATAGAAAGTTTTCAAAAGCGATATTTGATATATAATTTTTCCCTTGGGAAGTTGTCGAAATCTTGGAGAGAATGGTAATCTGTGCGAGCAGTTTGTAAAGAGCGAAGTGGATAACAGAGAGTTTGCATTTTTGGCATCTCGCGGTTTTGTTTTAGGTATTTCATCGTCTCTTTCAACTATACACAGCGCTCTTGGACACAGCCGTGATCGACGAATGGAGACTTATAAAAGCTGTAGAATATAAAACCTCTAGACCATTAAAAAACCCCATAAGATACGAGCAGCTGTTCATTGGCGTTCGGGCGATGTCCCGCTAGTTCGTTTACATTTACTGACCGGTGTGACGATCTACGATTGTCGTCTGGGATCTATTCTCCATTGCAGGTAACAATTCACTATAAAAATGGGCCACCTTTGTAACTTGAAAGCAAAGAGAAGCAGGCTTCGTTACGTTAGATCCCGCCCAAATCGTGCGGTACCCGTTTGTCCAATTTTTTTACCTCATTAAATTGAGAGGGATGAACGTTTATGGTATTTTTCCGTACGGAAAACTTGGCTTTTAATACTCGTGCGCTATGAAATGTATAGGTTTTCAGCTGTGAACGTTACCTTCGCAGTCTGCAATTTTGAATTATTTTTGCCTGAACTTCTTCTCGAAAGTAACTTTTTACAGTGTTTCTAATAGCGAATTTTTCACCGAGTACGCCGTCTCTGCCGCGGTAGTTTCCGGGCAGAACTCGTGGCCGTAAACTATTCCTCGGCTCATTACAACGCCTCTGTTAAAATCCAGAAAAATAACATATGAGTGAACGATTTGACATTTCAAAAAGTACAAACGCATCGCGAATACAAAAAGAAAACAGTTCCGCACCGTTATCAAATAGTTTCATTTTAAAGTATGCTATTGATATTCGTTACTTTACATACTGATATATATATATATATATATATATATTCATTTTGGCCAGAGATGTAAACAACAGCTGCTGGTTCGGACGCGATTAAGATACGGGAGCCTTAGCTGCTGGCCGATGTTGAACAAGTCCAAGAAGTTCGCTTACAGGGGGCGATGCCTTATTCGGCAATATCAATATCACAGACATGTATAATTATGTATAATATTGGGTCACATACACGCGCGGATTCTTCCCCTGTATGCTGACTTTATAGCTTATATAAAGAAAAAAACTTTAAATGTGAACTTTCCAACATGCCCCCTTTTGAGTTGAAGCTAGTTTTGGCTTTCCTGTCTGATCCGTATGCAGACTGACAAACAACGCTTGATTTATAATAGCCGGTCCACTATATCGATGTGAGATGGTGATATGAGATTTGGTGACAGTCTACGAAACGTTCCGTGTGAAAGATGGCGTCGATTGCATCGTCGGACCGTTAACGAACTGTTGTTGTCGCAAAAATCACACGCTTCTTTGCTACATATATACCAATGTTTTGTTTCTATCGCACTATCGATGCTATCACAGACGCACACGTATGTGCACTTAGTGTTGATGCTACCGATTATCTTCAACGAGGGATATTATCGTGTATATTATTATGTTTGGGCTGGTTATTACCTAAAAAACAGGAAGCAAACAACAAACGTACTAGAATATAAAGCAAACGATACATAGGTGTCATTTGCCTTCTTCTATCTACTATCATTAATGGCCCATTTCAAATTAACCTTACAAAACTGATGAGTAATCTAGTCGATCTAATAAATATGCCGAGCGATTACAAGCAGCCTCATTGACAGACTCAAGTCCACGTACTCACTCATCGGTCCGTCCACAAAATTGCCCCTGCCAACAGATACTGGGCCACTGCTTTTGAACACGTTCACGTCATCTAATAGTTGTGGCAACGTTAAGTTCACCTCTTGGTCAGCTACAACGCTTTGCTATGGTCCTAAGATTTGACACGATCAACCCAAAACCTTGATTTTATTAATAATTTTAGAAATATAGATCGTGCTGGACCATCATAAGACCACAATGCAATGCCATAGCCTACAGTCGTTGTCATTCTATAGTCGTATTCTGTCCCATTCTAGGTATCGTAGAACGTATGCAGACGCCTTGGCTAACTCTATTTGTTTCTTTCAGGCATCGTCCCGATAGCGAATATAGCTATCATCCCGTTCGCTTGATTGGCAGACCAAACAAGCTCACAAATTAAATTAGAAACAAAATTGCCTGCTTGTTCGAATCACAATTTTTGGGTTGAAAAAGCCAAAATAAAAACAAATTATTATGCAACGATGCACGCCCGTTTTGTTAACTAAATAAGTTGGCTCTTCGTGCCAAGTTGAAAGCTGCCGGCGCTCCGGCGATGATGGAAACGTCATCGTGGAGGCTGGCGGAGGTGTTATTCCAGTCAGAAAGGGGTTCTTGGTTCGTCCACATGAAATGATAAGAAGATAGCGCACGTCACCGAAACCGCTACATCTGGTTAGAAACTTCTGTCCGTCGTTAGTGTGATCAGTCAAACAAACTAACTAAACAAGGTGGTTGACAAAATTGGGGTAACGGAACTGAAATGTAGAACTTTTAAGATTCACACACGTACACCTGTCCAAATTTAGAATCACTTCTCGGCTATCCGACGTAATACTGGCCAGTTTACCAGAAGGAGCCGATCACGCAAGATTCCGCTTCAACACGTAAAACGTGTCGTCGACGTGACCGCAATTAGGGTGAAGGGATGCGGCGGGCGATCAATTTGCTCCTAAGTATTCCTATTATTCTTATTTACTTCTATATCGGGTGAGATAATAAAAAAAAAATGCCTTACAATAGAATCACGAATGAAACTATACAATTCAAAGCTGACGGTTGGAGAAATCATTAGTTCCACTGTGAGCCTGGTTTCTTACCCTTTTTTTTGAACCTATGTCGTTTCTCGTTGTACGCTTACCTTTGCCTACCCTTATATACATATACATTGATACATTTTGCACTACTCTGCGTCTGCCGCGTCAATGCCGCATGCATTCGAAATGAAATATTCACTAGACGACTGAGCGACGAATATCAACGATGAAAGCGATGTTTTGAAGCTAACAGCTTCGAATTTTTACCTTCGATATACCTCGGACGTTGCCTCGAATATTGCCGTTACGACATTAGTGTATTTTCTGTATTCTAACTATAAAAAAGATATTCATTGAGAGGAAAAGGGCCTTTTGCCGTAAACAGCCTTAGAGAAATCAGTACATTGTACGAGTTTGTAGGGATAGTCTATCCCTTCACTCTACTTCAGCTGGGAAATCTACTTCAGCTGCAGAGATTGGACGAGTGTCGACTACGTTACGTCTGAAACAGTCTTTCTTTTTTGGGGGATTGCTACATTCAGCTGATCAGACGTACACAGATTTAATAAACGAAGCATTAACGTATAGACTTGACGGCATAGCCAAAAGAACCTAATGAAATAATGATAATAATAAAGAAATTGTGTAAACGCATAATAAAATATTATTTATTATCAACGTACACAGATTAGTGGAAACGTGGCATTTTATTATAGAATTGTTTTATGAGTCAACTATCTCGTAGGTGCAAAATGTAAATATTAACTATAACAGCACTATAGTAAAGACGGTACATTGCCTACAGTTTGCAATCGATATTAAATAGTAATCCGAAAAACGTTTTTTTATTTCTTAATCGACAAATGTTTTGTATAAACATTTTATCAATCAGGACGTTTATCCGGCTTTCAGATCATTGCCTCTGCGCCCAACATGTGTGTTTTTTTCTTCCCACATCAGTTTATGCTTGCCTATATTTAGATAAACGTGTCGGAATATTTAGAGTTCGCACAATAAATAAAACAACAAAATCTAGACGATCTAAAGCGTTTCGTCTTCGACGCGCTTCGTCATCACTGAAAGTGTGGCGGACACAGCCATCGGGAAGATGCGACCCTCTCTATGGGTGCACTTCATCATCTTTATTGCCAGAACGTCGATAAGCGTGAAAACGACGTTGAGCCATTGAGGTCTTTGTTTCTTTTTTCTAGTAGTTTGCTTCGAGGCGTTTTTTCTTCTACTGGCTTCGAGTCAAATGAATAAGTTAAGCTAGCGAGCGAGTAAAAGCTAAGTTGAAGCAAATGACAACAACAGCAAATGTATCGATTTCCAACAAGCGACCAGCCGATGAGGTTGGCCAGATCGCAGGGGGGTGCCTATTCAGCCAGTCAGCGCTCATTGCAGGAAAGGAAACTATCGGAACGATCCGGTCCTGCTCCGCTACGGACCGAACGCGGTGCAGTATCGCTCCTGGTGGACAACGGCTCTGCGAAATCGTCCGTTCCAGTTGGGTCTCAGGCTCGTTTCATCAAAGATGCATTGCGTTGAAAGTGACCATGAAAGAAAACGATAGAAGTGTATGACTTTCTAAAAGTGTGCCTCGCTTGATTATATAGCAATTAATAAGGCCGACACTGGTTCGCATGGTCGACCCGCCAATGGTGTGCAACGGGCTCCGGCCGTCCTACTGTGATTACGCCACCGGTTTGGGGGCACGCAATGAATACATGCGAACTTCGAATGTCGACCGCTGAGCCAACAGCATCCAATCCCGTTTGTGTACCTTTATAGGCCGCTTTATGTAAGAGAGTCAATGATTGTTGAAGCACCTCACTGTTATATACTGCAGTCACCATAAAGGGTGTGTGCCCGCTGGGAATATAAGCGGGCCTCGGCTAGATTCGTGCACACAAAAGGAATGAACAAAAACTCAGTCAATGACAAAAATAAAGTGATAAAAAAAAAAAAGCAAAATAGTAATAATAAAAATATTTTAGATTAGATAAGGAAATCCAAATTAACCACACTCACCACCTCTACAAACAGCATCGAGATGAGCACTACATCATTTTCAAATATTAGCTTCTCTGTAAGGCTCTTCACGTTTTATGCGTTTTTTAGGTCGCTACACCCAGACATATGTGAATCCAAGACAGTTTCCCATCGTTTTCATCTATGAGGACACACTTCCACCCCCCAAAGTCACTTACCAGCGTCCAGAGCAGCGTTCTCTATTATCGTCAGTCAATTAACTAAATCATCTTGATTTCTGCTTTTTTTTGTACCTGCATTGCTGGACAAGCTGCTTCTCGTTAATTATTTCCCAAATGATTATTATTATTATTGTAATTATCGTCAATATGATTGGCAGTCCATCATGGAGATATCAATGCAAACATCAATGTGTTCTCAGAGCCATCCCGGTCGTACGAGGCACCTCCATTAGCCCGGTGCCATGGTGACGATCTACTCCATTTTCTGCAATACCTCCACGTAGTTTCAGCTAGCGAGGAAGCTCCTTTCTTGGGTGGCTTACGTAATCGAAGGGTTAAGCAAACGTAGCCACGATGGCGGTTCCCTTCGTGACGATGCCAACCCTCGAGCGGCCGCCGTTGCTGCTGCTGCTGCTGCTGCTTTGTATCAGGTGAAGAGTGATAATTGTGTTCGTCGAGGCTGGTTTATGGGCAGCACTCTGTAAACTACAGAGTTTGCCATTGCGTTTTTTTGTTTGTAGAAAGAAAGTCTTGAGCACGATGTGCTAACCACTAAGGTTCGTTCGGTTGCCATTGCAGCTCAATGAGCCACTACTTTCAACTGTGTGCCTCTTCAAACGTATAGAAAAGTAGCATTTGTCTCAAGCTAACGAGATAGAGCGATAAAGGTCAAACGGTTCGAAGTTGCCGATCAAACGACAAAGAAAAGAGCGATTATCTTTCGGTAAATTGTCTTGAGCATTGTTAAGGCGCTAGCGAAAACCAATCCGATATCTGGTTCGAATACGTCTGTGTTTATTTAGCAAAGAACAGATTTGCAAGTTGCTACAGGATACTTGGTCTCACTTGATTCGTTTCGTTTACCAACTGTTGGCGCTGTAGTAACATTGTTTACTCTCTTGAAGGAAAGACGGGGGCGGGCCAAAACCTACTTAACGCAGTCAAAACAAAGATGAATGGTCACCGCTCTAGATAGACACGAGCGGGACAACAAATATAAAGGGCACTTCTGATACTCGTAACTGCCATTCGGGACAAAATGTCTAACAGGACAATTGGCAGATTTTTATAAAGTGTTGAGGCGGATCTACCAAATTTTGAAACACCGAACTTTTCAACTAATTCAGATAGAATAAGAATTTTTTTAATGCGTGTTAGATATATTCTTTTATTTTATACATACTAGTCCCAGCGTTATCCTGGACAACTTTATACTTACCTCTCGCGTTCCTATGTATATTTTCTCTAACGATGCGTTCTTGAAGTGAGTCAGTAGTGGGATTTACTTGCCACTGGTTGTCTCCTCGTAAGGCACCCCACTATACAGACCGGGACAATAGGCAGGCTAAAGTCAACGTTGGACATTCCTTCGCTTATTCCAGGAGGTAACTAGAGCACGGCGATGAGGTGTGCTTTTATCATGAGTAACCAGAATCGGGTTTTCGACTGCCGTATGAACGATCCATGAGAAACTCCAAATAGCGGGCTGTATCCACTATGTCAACGTTACCCTAACGTTACTACAAACAGCCCGCCAGAGTTGATTGATTTACCCAACCAAGTACATTCAATAATCTCGTCTTTAAAGATTAAATTCGTATAGTGAAATAGTGGTAAGGAAAGTCACTGATGATCGTCTACAAACTAACAGCCAATAACATACCATTAGAAAAAGTCAAAAGTAGAGATGTATTCAAGCTTACTGACTTTATGGCTCGCCTATAGATAAAGTATTCCAGATACAGATATACATGACGTACTTTTATTATGAGTATTAGTCCCATGAGCTCAATTATGCCGTATGTATCACCGCCGCGTACCCGGCCACGTCCGCATTGTCGCGTTAGGCTGAACAAGCATGTCTTCCTTTTATGTCTAGACTTTAATAAAACTTATGATAACATGTTTCATTAATTAATTTTCGCTAAGGAAGCCTCTATCGGTGTTTGTCCTTATGAAATTTACAATTCTAGGCTAGGGGAAAGGTCTTGTGACAGTTAGAGTCTCTATATAACATCTGTTCGGTATTTAAACATATTTATGTCATGTATATTTACGTTTTTTTTACGACGCACACTTCACGTATATACTGTTAAGTGATTTTTTAAACTGTCAAGAGACCTTTGCTTCACCTTGTTCATACGATGAGCACGTTTATAGAATGGTTTAGTCTCTTCTGTGTCGCATTACCTCCTCCGAGAACCGTCACGCATACAAATAACGGGCGGCCGATCTTTCATGACCTTTTTTTTCCGGATTTTCAATCACACGTTTGTTGCAGTCTTCATGTTGGGTAAAGGTCACACAATTTTGTTAAATTTATCTTCACCAGGAATTCCACTATAGTTTGTACTTTAGCGCAGTAACTAGGTTTAAAACCAAGCTGAGCGATGTATCCGGACTTACTGTTACAACAAAAATAAGTTACTTATACTCGCAGTAATTACAGCAGTCCTCATAAACGCCATACGTATTTCTGAGTAAACAGTTAAGCCACTACAATGACTATAAGCACACCGCCATAATCTCTATAAGCAGTCGTGTAATTTTGTGATTTATTCAGCGTTACGCCTGAGGCGCTTCCAGAGTACTTACACATGGACCCGCAAGCCCGTAATTAGTTAAATCTGCTTTCTGCTCGTGGCCCCTAACGCGACTCAGCAAAATTACAATTAGAAAGAAGCAGAATGAAGACTCCCTTTTTAGATGTATGTGGGCCTCACTTGGCGGCTATCTGGTTTCAACGATTAGGCATCTGGCCGATAATTTTATCCAGCCAAGATAGTATTTACTAGCCGTGGACCTTTTTTGGACCTTTAGGAAATAAAATCATTCATTCGGTTGGTCGTCGACAAACGTCGCTAACGGCCTTAAAAAACTAGCGTGCAATTCTGTTGATACCTGTCGAATCTGCTACGGCAAAAGGCATTTTTATTGCCCTGGTGACGTCGTATTCCAACTATTGCAATGTGTTGCAATGCTCTTTAAATTAAAGACATGTCAGTCTTATTGATCGGATCGTGTACGCTACACGCTAATGTAAGCCGTGCGTAGAGTCCTCCTCTACATAGTGAAAACGTTCAGATGATTCTCTGATCAGTAACCGGTCAACAAGATCTGAGAGCCGCCATTCGAGAGAATCGTACGCGAGCAGGTGATCATCGTAAATCGTGTATAGTCAAACCGTTCAAATGGAAATCGTGGAGTAACTGATGCGGGCGCTGTAATATCCTGCGAGATGTTCTGCAATTTCGTTTCTCAGCAGAGTGACGCTTTCCATCATGAAACTGGTAGTGACCGAGTGGCTGAATACGCATCGAGTTGCTTGCTAGATGGACGTGTATTAATAAATATACTAGACTTGTTAGCAGGTGATTGTTGAGCTAGCAGATTTGTGAATTTAATGTGTAGGTAAACTAACATTAACTTAAATTCTTCCAAAGTAAGTAAAAGATGGTCCCATATTATTAAATACTATTGAGGCTTATTAACAAGCTAGATAGCAAAGGCTTTTATTTTTCCACGTAGCCTATTTAATCCTCTTTTAAAGTATAAGGATAGCTATCTAAGGGACACCTAGGAGGAGCTATAAGGAGCTATCTAACACAAGACAGTTGCCTAAGGAGAGAAGACAACTATCTAGAAAAAAAAGAAAAAGAACAGCTATTTAGGGAAACAAAATAGCTATTTAGGGATATAAAACAACTATCTAGGGAAACAAAATAGCTATTTAGGGATATAAAACAACTATCTAGGGAAACAAAATAGCTATTTAGGGATATAAAACAACTATCTAGGGAAACAAAATAGCTATTTAGGGATATAAAACAACTATCTAGGGAGACAAAATAGCTATCTGGAGAGACAAGACAGCTTTTTGGCAAGATAAGACAGCTATCAACGAGCGCTTGGGGGCAATACATATAATTGACACCCTTTACCCTCATGCGAATGATCTCCACCGCGCAGTGGTATGAAGGTCCCCCGGGCTGACTAATTCATTAAAAGTATTTCCAGACAGGGTGGCAAAGACGATGAAGCAGAAAAGCGGGATTCGTTTTCACTGTTCTTGGCAGTACGGAAAGAAGAACTGGAGAAAAATAGCACAGACAAACCCATAAGTTTGATCTGTGTGGGTGAAAAGTTAACACCACCCATTAGACGCCCTGTATCCATATACATTGTTTATAATGGGGAATCGTTTAAACAACGTGATATAGAAGTAAGCCTATATCTATTCAACACGCGCACATACTTCGTTAAATATTCTATAACCTATTTCAAATTTTTCACCATTACAACTACTCCCTTCACAGGAAACACTATATAAACACAGACGCTATTATGAAAAGGTCTAGCGAAACAATAGAAATCAACGGACAAAAGCAACGATTGAATTAACATGTTAAATACCCGCAGATCACAGTCAATACTGCTTAAGTTTCTATTGACATCTGAATTTTTTTAATAGTTCTAAAGAATAGTTTAATAATTAATAATCGAAGGAAAATCAGCGTCCTGCGTTTATTTCTTTTTTTTTTTTCATTTCAGCATTTATTCATTTTAGCGATTTGCTGTAAAACAAGTACAGAAGCACAAAACAATTATCTATAAGTGATAAGCGATAGAGAATTATAACTAGCAGGCGACATTGCCACATCGCAGGACCTCTACAGTCGTCAGAGGCAGCAACGCCTTTGCCCTTATCAATCGTCGCAATTTGGAGCAAATGCCAACGGAGACAGCAGCTGTCTGAACTTCCGAAGAACGACAACGTGCAGCAATCATACTAAGACGCGGGTCAGCGGCTCCCTATAAATGCCGCTTGTCACTCGCTTGTGCCGTCCCAGTTAACGAAACCTCCGTTGATAAGCGGAGGTTCTTCAAGAAGCAGGCGGATAAGAGAGCCGTTTTCCGGGCCAGGCCACTACGGCCTAGTTCCATAAGAGGAAAGTAGGAAAAACTCAGTCTCAGCTATAAAACAAAGCAGATGATTGCTTGCTTCCCTAATTTTGCTATAGCTTTTCGTTGTTCTGTTCCTGGTCTTTTTTCTTCATTGGCATCTGCATGGTAGCTGGTGCGGTTGCTCTCTTCGGCTAGAGGCCTCGCTGCTGCTCTGATTGTTGCCGAAAACAAGTTTAGTTGTTCAAAAGACGTTTTTTTTTACGACCGGGAGAAAAATGTACATGTTCTTCTTTCTTCCACCAAATATGCATTGGAGACTGAGGGGCGGCGTGGGAGACCGACATCGCCTAAAACTGTTGCAGACCCAAACCTGGTTGGCTTGTTTCGATTGCCAGACGAAGCTTCACATTAACTGAAAATATCTATGGTTACTTTAGAGACATTGCCTGTACTTCGTACATATGGAAAGGACTTTCGAGCGTTGTTGCAAAGCTCACAAGATAGCGCAAAGCGCTGAACGCTAGGACTTTGTTCCATGCGCTATCGGTGTCAGACCGTAAGATTAGAATTAGTAGACGAAACGAAAAACAACAGTTATTATAAAGACTAAACGCAGAAGTGAGACAGACGGAATATTAGGAATAACTATACATTTTTCAATGGCTACTGTTCAGTTGAGAACGAAAATGGAATAACATAATTATAACATTGTCTTGGGTTATGGGTCCGTCGTCGGACAAGTGTCAGACGATAATTTTATACAGGGTTTTATCAACAAACCATCCATTTCATCAAGAGGCAGCTTCCCCATAATACGATTGCAAATTTAAATAACCTTTGATTTATTCTGCTAACATCCACAAGGAACCCTTTGTGATGATCTTATTTTCTGCAATACGCGCTCTTGTACTCGAAACGTGCTCACTATACGCGTAGTGGCCCACGTAAATTTGTCCCTAGTTCAGTCAGATTTATGTATAACCAATATTTACATTGTCATTTATTAATTTATTGATTCACATTTGCTTGAAATAACAAAATACTTTATATATACAGATCAACAATACAATATTGAATGAGTATATAAAACCATCAGAACAATTTGCGTTGGGTCTTGTTGAGCTTATAAAACTAATTTAAGAGACTTGCTGAGTATCCTAAAGATGAAACCAGAGGTCAACGAGCAGACTAGTATCTGTGTTTCCCTCGCATCTGGAGCACCTATGCGTACTACCAAGTTCGTGAAAATCCGGTTTCCTGCAAAGTCTATCACGAAGCCCATGTACGACAAGTCGAGTGAAGACATACCTATCTAGCTAATTTCTTCCTTTTCATCGCACCCGAAGCAAAGAGATCCGCGATCTCCGCGAATTTTTGGTCCCGGTTCGTATAGCTGATTTCAGAAACTTTCATTGCTGGAACTTTACAACGACAAAGGAAGTTATCAAACCGCAGTAACAAGTTGGCCAATAGATGCACTAGGCGACTGCCGGCGTTGTCCCAGTGAGAAAGAAGGTTTTGGCATCATTTAATTGTTCGACGCTTTTCGCTATAAGATCTTTCCAAATGAAGAATATCTCGTATATTGCTGTCAGAACAACCTTCAGTTAGGTTAAATAACCTAATAATAAAGGTTGCGAGAAATAAGCGGTGAGACGATTCGACCGCCGTTCTTCATCTTTTGATGCGCGCGGTGTACGGCGCGGACTTCTGCTTTTTCGCAGAAAAAGGCATCTCAAGTACGGAAACAATGCGTTACTGGCAATATTTGGGTACAAAAACCGTATCGAGCATCCAAATACTGCATGTATCTGTACGCTAGCCAGTGGGCTGAGGTAAACCTATTTGCGATGTAATATATTGCTTGGCGACAGTAGCCGATCAATAGGGAACAAAATGATGATAAAAGGAAAATGAAACTTTGCTGATGCCCCCACTGAAGTTGAGGGCTTGTTTTTTCGAAAGCTTCAGCCAGACCTTCAACCGCTGCCGCAATATACGTTGCTTCGTCTTATTTACATATTTTCGTCTTTGAATTTTATTTTAGCTGTACCGAAACGTGGCCTAACGAGTTTAGCACATTTTCATCCTACACTACAGACCTTACGTATACCCAACAGGCCGCAAAAATTTTTCGGCATACTTAACTTTAAGAAGTTCAATAGACTGACTTCAAGATGAATATCGTCTTTTTCTGCTAGTTTTTTTTCAGTCCTTCCCTGAATCGTTGAAGCAATAGAGCCCAGAACAGCCGTGCAAGGAACACGTAACGTCTGTTGTCGTATTACCTATTGTAGACGATAGCAGTTTTGAGAATCATGCGTTTAGCGTTCCTACTCATTAGAAAAGAATACTCGTTAGTCATAATTAGTTTCTAGAAACGTAATAGACGTTTGCACAGCCGCTTACGGGATCTGGCAATAGGGTGCTCATTTTTATAGCAGATTATTTTGAATAGCTACCTGTAGAAATGCTACGATGTTAAGAAATCGTGTGAAAAATCATCAAATATCTTTCGGTGACGAGAGCTTAACGTGTTTAATTCTTGCCATATTACGTAAGAGGGTTCGTTTATATATGGAACAACAGGCAACTTAGTTCATCGTTATACATTTGCTCACTTCAATATAGAGAACAGCCAAACCGGCCGCAGATACTTTGGACAATTCAAATCTTCCTTTTTGCTATTGAAAGCAAAACAGATAGCACAAATTTTATTATCTCTTATATGGCTCGTAGGCTTACCGCTACCGATTCATAATACACTTCTCGTCAGCATATATATATATATATATATAAGGTAATTATCTTGCTAACACGTTAGTTGTTTTCTATAATCATGTATTTTGCTTTGTTGTTAAGCGTAAGTGGTTCATCTGTTCAATCGAAGAGCGAGCCATAATTTATCTCGCACATGGCGTTACAAGCTACAACCGATCACATCTGTCTCTGCTTTTCGAATTAGGTAAGTCCATTTTCTGGTTGCGAAGAAAAGGGCCACGATGGCTTTTCATCTAATCTTATGTATAGCATATGGGATACACGTGTCGACACGCGGTATAATTCGGCCCTATGATCATAGAGCTGCAAACGTCCCTCTTCTAAAATCTGCGGTAACTTTTATCAACATTTGATATTTGCTGTTTAGCGGAACATTTTATCTACAAGATGTCGTATAGCGTGGCTTAAAGGGCAGCGATAACTGCATCAGTCTGAATTCCGAACACGATTCCATCCGGTGGCGTACGGCCTTTTCTGGGACGCGAGAGAGAGAACATAATCGTCCTTCTGCAGAAAGGCCACCGTTTTAGGAAGAAAGTACCTGGCAAAAGATTATCTTGATCTGAATTTTGAATAGTATCGTCAACTGTACTAATGAATGGTGTAGTCTTAGTAAACGGGCTCTCCAGAGCGTTCGCCTGTACCTCAGATCGGACCAGTGTTCACTTTCTCGTTTGAAGGCAACCTGTCGTAGGTTTTCCGATGCGAGCTTGGTTCCCGGTCACGGCAGTTATGTTAGGTTCCATTTTAGGAGCATATCTGTATCATAATCATCGTAAAACAATGTCTTTTGTTAGCGCCGGTATGATAATTCTATTCGACTGGTAGCCGTGTCAACTAATCAAACCGATGTGTACAATGTAGTCCAAGCAGCTTTTTTTTTTAATACAGTGTGATGTAAGTTTCTTTTATAAGAGCAGCATATCGACTTCTTAAGCTTACCTATTTGGGTTTGTTCGACGTCTGATGTCAAACAGAAAAGAAGCATGTACACGCAATGTTGTGAGGTCTAACGTAGCTGTTTTTGTGGGTCAGCGAGTTAGGATTAGTTAAGTTAGCCCATTTAATATTTGCCTGCTATTCTTAGGGACACGTTGTAGTTTAGGTTCGAACCCAGACATAGACAGGCTTCGTTTCGTGCTAAGAGGCAGCCAGCTGTCTGATGGAATCCGTAGAGAGAGATTACCGTGAAGTAGCGGATGCTCGAGAACGAAAATTACTTTGAATAACATTTGAATCGTTTTCAAAGGGCGCCAACTGCGATAGCTGTATTCTGGGAGATCTTATAAGAACGTATCACTCTACGTTGGCTTTCACAGGAACAGTAGGTTGGCACGTTTATGTAAGGGAGCTGTCGACTGTCGAGCGAAATTAAATTGAGATCGCCTATCAGCTGATACTTCGCTCGAACCTTACCAACCACTCCCTTTACAAGTGCTTCTCCAAACTTACACTTCGGTAACTTAATTCTCGAGTGATTTTAGACTAAATGATGTTGTGATGATTCTTTTTCCATATAGAACAAAATTTCCCGATATTTTTCGATGCATCTCAAGTTTCGATCGCTATGCGACCCAGTTCATACGGCAGTTGATACTATTGCTACTCGTACTATTATTACAGTATCTAATATCATTGTTTCAGTATATTTCCAACCCATATGGATTAAGAATGTTTCTTTAATACCCCATACTTTAGAATAGCTTCAAATTTAACCTCTAGGTATTACGTTAAACAGTGGATCTTAGCGCGCTTTTTTCAGACACCTTTCTCTGCCCGGTCTTATATACGAAATGGAGAATACTATACTCGAAAGCGCTTTGCTTTCTTTATTTGTTTATTAATAGATATGCATTAAAAGGAAAACTCTGAATTTATTGGAAATAAGGCGGCAGAACTGGATGTTCCACACGTAAAAAATACATTTTCGGCGTTAGTTCATCCTGCCTTTCGCCGACATCAAACGCTGTCCGAAGCTGTTAGGTCAAACGGTAAATGTAGGTATGTTGTTTTGATTCAATGGAAAATTTACCGGAGCTTACTGCCCATCCCAGTATAGTGCCAGGGCCGAAACCTTAATATAAGAAAGAGAATAACGTCAATACAGATAGGTAACGTAATGGTAAAATCCCTACAATTTTAGCTACCCCAAATGAAACCTATCGTTATTATACGAACGTATGTAATGTTCCCTTTTATCCAGCATCGTCAAAATGTGAGAACGTACGTTTGACCTACCTTGCAGTTGTAAAACATTGTTGCGCTTCCTATACGCGCCTATGCAAGGCTGGTGTTTCTATCAGAAGGCTTTAAAAAAATGAAGTTTTTTTTGTACCTTGAAAAGTACCTGCTTTTGGAGCTGGCGTGGTATTGATTGGCTCGTTTCTGTTCGAACTCCCTTGAAGGCGGGGTTTGCTGTGGAGGCGGACGGACATTAGCTCCTTGGCCGCCCCGAATCCCCATCAGTACCGGACCAATCGAAACGTCAGCGCAATTCCTGTACGTCTCCTGTGGGCCACAGCCCGTAGCTTGAGTGCCGTTGTCACAAGTGCCCCAATTGTTAGCGGATCTGAAAACCATCACATGCTATTTGGTCTATAGTGGTATTAGCAGCAAATCGCAAACCTTGCCGGTTTATGCCGCATTGAATTTGTTGAATAATAAATCAGTTATTGCCAGATATTATATAGCTCTTATTACGTTACCAACATATATGCAGGGAGGCGCAAACGTAACTTTGCAATTTAGGCGTTTTCATTGTTAGAACGCAAGGAGACCAAAGTGTGGTAAAAATAGTAGTCTCTTGAATTCAATGCTCTTGCCTAATATGATTACGTAGAACTATCGCCGCTGAGCCTGCAACCGATTCCCTACGACCATGCCAAAGGTAGATAATTGGGTGTATGTATATTTTTAGAATAAATTTCCAATAATAGTCGAAACGATAAGAACATTCGACAGATAAAATGGCAGAAATTTTCATTGTTGCTGATAATAACTTTAACATACTATAGTACGATGCAGCGAGCGAACCTCATGTTAAAGAAACGCCGTTATAATACTAGCGATCGAATTAATCAAATTGTACTGCATTTAGCAAAAAGGATGTATCTGAAAGTAAAAACCAAAAAAATTACCCTGATTTTTTAGTAATAAAAAGGATAACACCTTGTCCTAAGGGTACAGGTGAGTAAAATACTATTTATTGCCTTACATTTACCATTTAAAATCGTTACTTCGTACTAGAGAATAATAATGGTCCTACTATACATTTGACCATATGTTGATTTAAACATACCGGGTACAATAAGTTGCTGTTAGATAACATTCGTAGGCTATTAGGATTGCGCCAATATGCCACTAATGGAGCTTATCTATATGGCTGTAGGAAAGTTTGTAGATCTTTTAGAGTTACCTCATTAGGCTCTACTCGCTCGTAAATTACTGGGATAAAATTATAATATTCTATATATTAAGTGAATTTTGAAACTGGATAACTTTTAAACTACTGGCAGTTAGCAGACGAAATTTGGCTAGTATATACCCCAATCGCCTAAAAAATTCAACAACTGAAAGCCGGTTAAGTTTCGTTCAGAGCAAATGATTTCAAAAGCAAACACCTGCTTTGAAAATCGACATTCAATGGTTAAGTTATTGTTCTTTGAAAGCCACAGAGCTACGGAAATTTATCAAAAAAGAATGAAAACATCAGGCGAGAAGACCTAAAGTTAAAGCATTGTACGCGAACGATGCAAACGCGTTAAGAACGGAGACCAGCCTGTGTCGAAAACCAGTGAGGAGATGGCCAGATGTCGAGACCCGAGAAAAACAACGCGTTGCCGCAATTGAGGAGACTTTTCACGACAAAAGGGCTTTGTCTGCTATCTCACATGTAACGTATTACGAAGTTATAATCCAAATACTGAAATGCGAAAGCTGAGTAAAAAATGGGGGGTCTCCCGTGAGTTGATTCTAGGGCAATTAGAAAAACTTGTGGTTTGCTCCACGTGCAATTAGCAAAACTTCAATCCTGCCTAAGGCAAACGATCGTCATGGATAAGCTATGGTTCAATCTATATTGCCAGCCGTAAAGGGGCAAGCTGAAAGAACGGCATTGCCTTGGTTTAGCCGTAAGGTGAGAATACTATTTGTAGTAGAGCACCTGATGCTACCATATACTCAGCGAGAGTAACATTGAATGCAGCCCGCTATCTTCAACAGAGTTCTTCAAAGGACTTATGGACCGTTTGCGTAGCAGTCAAGAGCACGCAGTTTGGTTATTTGATAATAATACCAAACCTCGTCGCTATGCCTTAACCACTGCCTGCGGTGAGCAAATAAATACCCAATGTTGGCTTCAACCCACTTATTCTCATGATCTAGATCTGTATAGTTACAAGGCTCTCCACGCCCAAAAAAGACAACTATGTTCAAAAAATGACAAGCATGTGTTACTATCAATTTATGCGAAACAATCGATCGAGAAATTACAAATGGGAACTCGAATGGTTGGTATATGGCTGTCTAGAAGCTGCCGGAGCGCTGGGACAAGTGTGAAAACAAATAAAAAAAACACGTATGAAAATTATTCTGCTGGTTTTATTTGTTGTTAATGGTTGTTCAATTTCAAAGTACGCCGAATTCGCTTATGGGCCAATAGATCAGTGGCCTATTCCGGACCTGAGTTAGCCGGATATCCTTGCATGGCCTATGTGCCCATATCGAATGGACATGCACGTATTGAAAATGTACCCCAGTGTCTAACAGACATAATTACCGGCGATACATAGATTAGATAGATGCTGAGCATGTCAATTTACTCACTCAGGCGTACTTTACGGGATCAAACACTTGTTTCCAGTCTATATTTTCTTCATCCAATATACATTCTTGCCTAAAAGAAATCACTGGTCTACGAGCAGTTCCGTAGGTCACGTGTTATCCGCCAAATTGGCATTATGCAGATATTTTCTTATTTGTATAAAGGTTGCAGGGACTGAATAAGCCTCAATTCAGTTGCCCGCCTTTTGATCAATCCGCAATCCTGAACCCGCTCCGTACGCTCAATGTCGGTCGGCTAACATTGCTCGTGCGTATTCTTAAAGCGTTTTTGTCATGATACAGTGGTAACTTGTTTTCCTAATAAGAACGCAACACACTGGAGAAGACCATGGGGTAGGCACAAGATCCGTTTTGGGCTGAAAGGATCGTGGTTCGAAACGATGACAGGCGTAACTTTCGAAATATTTTTTGGCCACCATTAAGACAGCCAAGACAATGCTGTACTGTAAAAACGTTAGACGGAATTGCTGAGTTGTCAGAAGACGTGCAGTACTGGGAAAGGCGAGCAGAAATTTTGAAAAAACATAATATCCGGCCAATGCCGGAACGTTACAGATTACGCAGCTGCTAAAAAGTGGGGCACTAACGACGCCTATGCGAAAACCCAATGTGCTTTCGGAGATGCTTTACAGATTGTTCTTAGCTCTGAAAACGAAAAACTCTTCAAGGGAATAGGTGTGGTTAATCTGTTCTTGACAGGTGCTTCACTATTTTGACCGCAATTGAAAATTAGCAAGAAAAGGATTGCCAACAATTTATTATTTGTTTTATTCTTTTTTTTCCGTATTAGTTCACTTTGATACAACAATAAAATAATTCAAAAGTCAACCACGTATTGCGCTCTATAGCAAGTGACGTCAATTTGGCGACATTGAAAAAATAGTCCAGGTTTTCTATTAGATTACAGAACGGGGAAAAAATTGCGCCCATCCACAACTTATTAAAAAACTTAGGGAACTTAGCGTAGTGTCAACACGTACGTAAAATAGCTGTTAGTAGCAAATTATCTCATGATAGTTGCGCGTATAAAAACATTGACAAGGGAAGGGGGACACTCGCCTTTTCTGGCTAGCACTCGCCGATTTCTTTGTGATCAAAGTAGACGAACACGGGTTGTCAATGGCCGGCCCGAACTTGACGGAAGAACAATCTTGTGGTCGTTTGTAATTACAGCTTTTGTTGAGACAACTAAGAACAGTCATTCTATACATCATATTCTAGTATGACAATGTATTCACACTTCATTTGTGTGCATATTTGGTAATGATGATTATCCAGATATTTCATTTTCGACGTACAAACGTCAGTCTTCGAGACAACAACTTGTCATTTCTTTGATACCCTAGTTGATTGGCTTCGTCCTTCACTAAGGCTCGCCTTTTACGCTTCGGCGATCGCTCGCCTACAATCGTTATTGGCATTGTGTTATAACAACATACAGCACGTACATGTAGTCTACGGATGGGCACCGGTATGGGGAGCATACACTGAGATGCATTAATGAGGTGCGCCATACTTTTAGGATTATGCATTTTACCGTATTTCGCAGGCCATTGCTCATCCAATGGCGAATCCGCTGAATGGCAACGATATATACAATGATCTTCTACACCCAATTCTCATCCTTCAGCGTCATCCTCAGTTGCAGTTGATTCATGATAGTTCCAAGCGACGAAAAACACATAGAGATTAAAGCAAGCGTTTTCGGTGTTCTGCCATGATATATCTGTGTGTATCTGAATATATTATACGTAGATGTCACCTTCGTGTTTACTCGTAGCTAAATCCAGTAAACGTGAGGTGTCCATGGATTTGACACAGCTGGTAGTAAACGGGTCTTTACACGGCGATATTCCATTGCAGAATCGCACAGTCCTTTTGCCCTGTTTCTGCAAGATGTCATTCTGTGCTGCTTTCGTGAAGACAACAGAGGCGACGTCGTCAACTTCAGCTGGGAACGTCATCTATCCGCCTTCGTTGAAAGCAAGTAATGGTGGTTTTCGACGACAATCAGCCTCGTTCTCACTTCCACGACAATAAGTGGTGATCGTACCATACATGCTCCATTCATGGGATGATGTGACACCAGGGTCGAGTAGTTCGCATGTGGTTTAAAGAGTCATGTTGTCATGAAAGGAAGAGGACCGTTGGCGCTTTTGAATGGCTGTCTTAATATCAGCAGCCCCAGAAAATCAGTTGCGACCGCTAGAAGTAAGCGAGGGCGGAGGTTGGCTGGAGCAATATTCAAAGCTGTTCGACCTGTTAGAACTCATCTGCTTTCGTCAACGTCTGTCTGCACGAAATCAACGAAGCATATAATTGACTGTTCGTTGTCTACCCTTCCCCCAAATCAGCGCCCCAAAATCAGCAGTAAATGATGGTGTCAATATGTGTGGCACGAAACGTGACGAGTAGAATAACCAGTTGCTGTTTTCGAACCCCCCAGGGCAAACGATGCTCGCGTAGACTGATATTTGGCGTGCGCTTTTTTATTTGCAGCCACGGTAAATACTCGAAAAGACAACATCGGAATTACTGATAATGCATTGACTGAAAAGAGAGAAAAGAGAAGATTTATGCGACTCCGCTATGAATACCGTGTAATTAACTATTTTGTAGATGGCCTTTAAGAGAAACTATAGCAACGACCAATCCCGTAGTCCGGTTCTTCATTGCTGTTCACATATATAAAGTTGTTGTTGTTGGCAATAATAATGTGACAGTCCC